GTTCTCTATTCCAATGAGTTGTTTTGAAACTAGAACTGAACTAGTGGTGTTTGACTTATGAATGTAGAGAGGTGAACCTGAATCAGTAACATTCAAATTATGTTTGAAGAAATTAGCTCGATTTGGCGACATGAGCAATTTCGAACGAAAAGAAGAGAAGCTTGATTAAAGACAATTGAAGACGAATCGAATCAAATGAGAAGTTCGATTGAAGACGAGAAGCTTCAATCTCAGTAGCTTTAAAGCTTGATTGTAGACGCAAAGCTGAGAATCTTCGATTTGAAGGAATTTAAGCTAGGAAGCTAGAAATCTTTGATTGTGCGGGAAGTTGGGGATCTTTGATTGAAGAAGCTTTGAGCTTGAATGAAGAAGCTAAAACTTCAGCTTAGCTTGAAGCGATCCACCATGTGCTCTGATACCATGTACAATTTGTTTCAGAGAGAGTAAAAAACTTGGCTTCTATTATTCAACTTCAGTCTTGAGTACAAAGACATATATATTACATTTGTTATATACAAACCTTATTAACCATGGTTAAGTCAACCACAGTTAAGTACACTCTAACTAATCAACTAATTATAACAAACTAATCACAACAATTAAGAACTATATAATAAATCCAATAGTGTTGTTGTTAACTTGAAGTACCCGTTTGGTGTTGGAGATTGCATAGTAATGTTGTGTTACATGAACATTAATTACTATGCTGTAGAAGAGGTTTGTATTTGTAATATGGCTATTAGAACGTAGAAGTTCTTTTTGTGCATATCACCTGTTAAATTTTGCATAGCGTTTGTTGTATGATGTGAAAAAAACAGTATGACATTCTATAATGCTCACATAACCCTCAATGATACACTCTGAGATCCTACATTTATTCAACTATAATTTTGAGGATTCAATTCACCCAATAACCATGTTTTATTTGGAGGGTTGTTCATAACTTACAACTAATTTGAACTTCTAGAGATTATGAACCTTCCACCACAACAATCGTCTGAAATGAATGGCTAATTCTAGTATAGGCAGACAACACTGATAGGAGCCTAATTCAAGGTTATCCTACAACATACACTTGAAGGAAAGAAGCTGGTTAATCTCAACTTTAAGCTCGTTTATATATATACCTTTGAAATGAAGTACAAATTAATCCATACAAATATAAATACCTCTGAAAAGATTAAACTTTTCTTCCACTTCCCATGACGAAAAGATCCAGATTGAATCGTTTCACTTCGTCTCAAATAGCTATTTTCATATCAACCCCAGTATTGATCCATGAGATAGCAGTAACCTATGACCATTGATTAATTCCAATTAATTATTAAACTAACTAAATCTATATATGAGAAGATAGGAATTGAATGAAGATCAATCCATTAATCACCCCAATCCGATGACATCGTTCACAAAAATGTTCAAGCATGTCAAGGGCTCCTACATATTCTCAATTTGCTTCCCAGAACATTCAATTCACAAATAATTATAAGCAGATTCAGGAAGACAAAAGACAATCAGACTGTTTAATTCTTTATGGAAAATCGAATAATTCAGGAAATTGACTTATTGAGAGATTTCATAATACTAAATATGATAAATATCTGATTTAATTCATCAAAAAGAAGAATTATGTTAATGTGTGAAGCCTTCAAACTGTGTTGTTTTTTGGGCTTTAGTGATGTGTTGCCAGTTCAAGCAATCTCCCTTGCATTCCTGGCCATTGATCTATGACTAATCAAATGGTTGAAATCTCCTCTAGTGGTCAATGGTATAAAAGCAGAAGTTCTCCCAATTTACGCAGTGCAATTCCTTTGTAATTTCGCGTTAGAAAATTCTCTGCTAGGGTTCTTCATCTCTTATTGTTCTCTTGTGTAAATCTGGTTGTAAATCCACCTAAAAGTTGTGTTTCTTTTTAGCGTAGAGAATTGGGGATAGGTTTCTTTATAGGATTATAGATTTATGGTGATAAGAGTAGAGAGATTGTGGTTCTTGCGAGTGACTGATTGAGCAAGTGATTGAGTGTGTTACTGAGGATTGTACTATGTGATTCCATGGTAATAATAGTGCAGCAAGCCTCCATATTCTGGAGCTCAACGTGGACGTAGCTTGTTCAATCTTGAACAAGTGAACCACGGTAAAAAGATTGTGTGCTGTTCTTTCTGGTTTGATCTGTGTTTAGTTGATTATCTTCTCAATCTTGATTAGGTAAACTCAATTTACAACAAATTGAATACAATTCCGAAAGAAGATTAACTTGAATGCATAAGAAATTGTTAAAATCAAGAGAAAAATATGCTAATCAATAATAAAATTATTAATAACTCTGTGCATTTGGTTTATTATTCTGATACTTTTTAGAATAATATTTTGAAAAAGTAAAATTGGGTGGTTATTACGATGTAGGATTTGCAAATTAACAAAAATACACCATAGGTTTGTTTATTTACTAAACACCCCTATAATAAAATATTGAAAATTAACAAAAATACCCCACCCACCCATTAAATACAGACAGCCGGCCACCATCGCCGAAGGGTGGCTGGAGTCGCCATATCGACGCATGACCTGCTGGATCTGGCCGGTCATGCGCTGATATGGCCTTTTCCGGCCAGATCTACGGCTAGATCTGGCCATTGGCTGTCAGATCTGGCTGCATTTGGTCGTTAACGATGGCCAAAGATATGGCCGTTATTGACGATTGGGTACGACCAAAGATCTGGTCGTCAACGGCTAGCTCTGGCCTTTTTTGGCCAGATCCACAGAAAATGCTAGATCCAGCCAGTAATGTGCCATTATATCAGATTTCGGCCAGCTTCCGATCATGGTGGCCGAAATCTGGCACATGTGGGTTGCTGGGGTGTTTTTGTCAATTTCTAAAATTTTTTTGAGGTGTTTAGTTAAATTAACAAATCTAGGGGGTTTAAAGATTGAATACAAATATAGAGGGTTTAAAAAGAATTGAATAATATTTGGAGAATAAGGAAATAAGTGTAGTATTTTGGATAGAAAAGGGAATAGAGTAGTGAAAAATTGTGTACCAAAGGGGTCCTCTAACATTCTGTCAAAAAAGAAAAAAAAAATTTGGGGTGCATTTGGTTTATTATTTTGGATAGGATTTTGGGGATAGTATTGGATAATTGAATATGGGAGTATTACGAGGTAACATTTAAAAATTTATAAAAAAACCCCCTAAGTTTACTAATTTAATAAATACCACAACATGTAAAATGACAAAAATACCCCCACCACCTGCAGTGCTAGATTCAGGCTACCACCGCCGGAATCTGGATGAAAAATCGTGTTACGACATAGACCGGTTGGCCGTCGTTGATGGCCAGATCTAGTCTTTTCCAGCTAGATCCACTGTGGATCTGGCTGAAAAAGGCCAGATCGGTGAATTACCGTCCAGTTCCGGTCGGTAATTCACTGTTGTGGCAGATTCCGGCAACCACCTGGCAATTATGGATCATAGGGGTGTTTTTGTTAATNACATTTTTTTATGGGTAAAACCTTCCCATATTTGTTTTTTCATGTTACTGTGATTTAAGCAAATTACATCATCAATAAGTTATTTTAGGTGTTCATGACGCTGTCTACAACAAGTTACAATGAACATTAATCTAGTAAAAATCTGAAGCAAGGTATTGTCAGCCAGCTAAATCCCTATTATTTGGAAATTAATTAATTTGTGCGATATGTTTGATATATTAAATTAAAGTATATAATCAATTTCAGGTGTCAACATATATTCTAAATGTTACGGTTGCATCAATAAAGCAAAGCAATTACAAAATCAATTTCTCTCTTATATTAGATAAATGGATGAGTAACTTGATTTACCTAATAATTATATTTTTTATTATTAATTCAATTAAAAAGATTGCAAAGAAAACTTTAATTTTAGAGTTAAAATTATAAAACAAACCCTTTCACATAAACAAATATATTTAAATTTAAATGAGCTATTACAAGATACTATCTCAATGCATATTAAAAATAAATAAAACAAAAAAATAAGTTTCCTAGAATTCTTTAGTAACTAATTTCCAAAAAAAAATATATATATATATATATATATTTAAAATAATACATTGGGCTCCTTTTATTGACTTTCTAGATTCAAACTACCTTGAGGGTTACTTATCATTTTTGTGATTTAATTTAGAACATTAGACTTGTAAGGTATTTGATGGACTCCGAGAATTAGTCAAGGTATACGCAAACTGACCCAAACACTCTGGTTGTATATATATATATATACACGTAGAACCGACTAGAAATACATAGGTATACACACACGTAGAACTGACTAGAAATACATAGGTAGCATTACGACAAGTTCTATATACAAATTTTTTGTGTATTTCCATCTACAAACAAAAATATCTTCTAATTGCTTCTTCTTCTCACAAATTATGGCCATAAAATTTTGAATGGTTTGCAAATTTTGGAAACAAACCGTCTTTACACGGTTTGTGGGCCATGCCATGGGCCCTCAATCCTTCAACGTGTGGATTTCTAATGGGCTCGAATTCTCTCTTCTGGATTAAATGGGACCCATATTCTCATGACCTGGGGCTTCTTCTCCCTACGCCCTCATAATTAACATTAAATATAGAATTTATCAATGTTTCATTTGTAAGCCTGCTACCTACTGATAGAAACGGTGCCGTTTCAACTGCATGTAAACTGTCAAGTCAACGTGTTTTCATATATTTTTTTTTAATCTTCTAAATCTGCCTTTCTTATGTGGACTTCATTCCTTATCTCCAGATTCTCAAATCATCATTGGACACCACACGAAAAGTAATCTTCTACGCAACAATCTAACTTAAAAATCTACAACCCCAAGTATCAAAACCAATAAAAAGCCGTCTTATGAATCTCCAGATTCAATACATCAAATCCACCGTTCATTACATGATCTTAAACTAAGGGCAACGTACTGCATTAACACTAAATCATCCACCTAATCACCCGGTATTTATGTGATTTCTCTCGAATTGCCAACTCGGGGAAACAGATCCAGTTTAGCCTTAAGATCGACGACAGTGCGTCAGCTCGGTCAGCTGAACTCAGTTCCTCCCAGACTCAGCTATGGCCTCTCTTTCACCTCAAACCTTCTTCTCTCTATCAAACCCTAAAAAACCCAATTCAAAACCATTCTCAACCCAAACTACTGTCCCCTCAAAACTTTTCCAGAGCCCCATTTTCTCGAGAACCAAACAGAGAAACCACAGCAACTGGGTGATGAACTCAGTGCTGCAAGAAGAACTTGACGTGATCCCAGTACAGAGCCAGGACTCTACAGACATGCAAGAGGGTGTTGTGGTCAGTCGAGAGGACGGTGAGTTGGCGAGTCAGGTGAGTCAGGTTGGCGGGTTCAGTGATGGATCGTTGTCACTTGAAGGGTTCTCTTCAGCTTCTTCTTCAAATTCAATTGGAGATGGAGAAAGAAGAGATAATGAAGAAATGGAGAAGTTGGTTCATAGAACTATAAATGCTACTATAGCTCTTGCTGCTGGAACTTTTGCCATCACTAAGTTGCTCACTATTGATCAAGATTATTGGCATGTAAGTTTCTATGCTTTACATATAATTTTTTAATGTAAAGTTTCAAAATTTATCAAAACCTACATCGAGATTGTGAAAAAGGTTTTGACTTTTTTGAATATTTGTCAAACCAAGCGGATTCATTTGTGATTAAGTGAAACCTGGTGATGGGAGTGATTGAGAGTTAAACAAATTCTGTATGTGTGTATGTGTTAATATGGGAAATACGTGAACTTTTGTATTTGCTGTGTGTTGTTTTATCGCAAGAGGAGGTCCGTAATTGGTTTATGTTTTATGTTTGTATGTTTAAAGAAGAATGGATGGAGTTGGGGATTGATTTCTGAGTGGTTTTGTCAGTGACTTGTACTATTTAGATATCTTAGAAGCAAACATGATTTCATGTTTCAGCAAAAACTTTGGCAAACCATCCACTTAACTTATAATGTGTTCTTTTAGAAGGGAAAGAAAGGAAGCAACATCATTTTAGGTGAGCACAGTTGGAACTCTTTTGTTTAGATGTATTAGATGAAAGGATGAGACAGTAACATAGAGGTAAATCCATGAAGAAGTATGAATGTTTATACCAGAAGCTGGGTAGATATGGGTAATAATTCGACCGTGTGATACAAAGAGCAATAATTCACCAATTTGGTGGTGATTGTGTGGATGTTAGCATCTGATGCTGGTAAAATGCATTTGCAGACTGTTATGGCTCCATTGATGTTGTGGTCTGAGGGAGAGAAGAGTGAGAGAATGATTTGTTTAGTCCTCTCCTACAAAATTCTTTATAGTTGCTTGTAAGTGAGTTTGACCATAATTGGTGATCTGTAAATTGGGGAACGAAATTCTTTTATTTAAAGCCTTTTTGCTATGTAAATGTAAAAGATAGTCTCTGATTGATTTTAGCTTTTTATCTGCGTTTGCATTTCAGATATAGATGATTCTTATCCTGTTTTTTCTGCTTGTGGATTAAGTAATACTAGCGATCATTAATCAATTTGATCTGTTAAAACTCATTTTGGTTTCTCTTTTAGGGTTGGACCATCTATGAAATACTAAGATATGCGCCTCAGCACAACTGGTCTGCTTATGAGGAAGCTCTAAAGGAAAACCCGGTTTTAGCCAAAATGATGATCAGTGGAGTGGTTTATTCTATAGGGGATTGGATTGCACAGGTTAGTGCATGTTGTGGAATAGAGAACGTCTAACTTGTTTACTTGATTTTTCAATTCATAGTTTGCTCATTAATGTCCTGGAATTTGCAGTGCTATGAAGGAAAACCTCTTCTTGAGTTTGACAGAGGGCGAATGTTAAGATCAGGCCTTGTTGGTTTCAGTCTACATGGTTCCCTTTCTCATTACTACTACCAGTTCTGCGAGGTGATGGTTATGCTTTAAATTCATGTTTAAGTTGGTTAGTCTCACCAATATATTATCTATGTGGTTTACTGAACTACTTTTTTTGTTTTCCAGGAGCTTTTTCCTTTCCAAGACTGGTGGGTGGTTCCTGCCAAAGTAGTCTTTGATCAAACTGTATGGGCAGCTCTTTGGAACAGTATATATTATACAGTTTTGGGATTCTTGCGTCTGGAATCTCCACTCAGTATTTTTAATGAGTTGAAAGCAACATTCTGGCTCATGCTGACGGTAGGAGAATTTTCTTCCCTTTCTACTGTACCTTTTCCTTGTTCTCTGAATATTAAGAGCCAGACCTTTGAGCCTAACCAAATGCCCTTCTTTAGCTTTCTTGCCAATGTAGTGGGACATTCTTAGTATCCAAACTTATTAATTGAAAAGCAAATATATTTTACTTTTCACTATTTTCTATTTTAAATAACTCATTTTTGAAGTAAGTTTTCAATTATAAACTGTTTGTGTACACATGACCTATGTGTTAAGATTATTATCACTCCATGTTACCATCATTGGATTGTAAAATAAGGTTTCAAATTTGATGAATTTTTTTTAAAGTTTTGAACTAGTTATTGTAGTTATAGAGATTATTAACATTATTATGCCTGGGAGTCATTGGACTATTCCTATGGTTGGTTCCATTTTTTTTTCTTGTGAAGCTCAAATTCGCATTGACCTTGATCCCATAACATTTATATACTACTCGAGGAACTTTACACTTTTTAAAATTTGCTTTACGTGGCAGAATCCCATCTAGTCTTAGTCTTTTGTGTGTCATTTGCATTTTGCCTTGCATCTAAATGTATCCTTGTATGTGGCTCTTCATGCAGGCTGGATGGAAACTTTGGCCATTTGCTCATCTTGTTACCTATGGTCTGGTGCCAGTTGAACAAAGGCTTCTTTGGGTGGACTGTGTAGAACTCATTTGGGTGACAATACTCTCAACGTAAGTATCTAGTATGGCTTATTCTGCATAATCATATATTAGGCTAAAGATTGAGAAATTTGTTATTATTGACATTAATTTTTCCACTAAAGACATACTTACTGGAAAATAAAGCAAGCTACATAATCACATCGATTGGAAGATTTACATTGAGCCAATGTTACACCTCTTGCTTCTAAAACAACACGGTAGATATGCTTGGTGTTTCACTGTTTCTGGGCTATTAGATTTACATGCGATCTATAGTTTTGAAGAATCTAAGTCTTTGTCTCATAGAGCTGAAGTTGGTTATTGTCCTTATTCTTTTTCTTTTTTTTCCAAATTCAAAAATTCTGGTTTAGACTTATTCTTATTCTTTCTTTTCTTTTTCTTTCTTTTTTTTTCTTTTCTTATTCTTTTTCTTTTTTTTCCAAATTCAAAAATTCTGGTTTAGAAAAGATAAAGCTGATATTATCGAACAATTTTTTAGAATTCTCAATTTTTTATGTTTGAGGTTTATGTCATGCAAATTCTTGTGGACAGAAATCAAAGGAGTATAAAATCATTGTTTTGCAAGCAAAACCATCTACTGTCCACATTCTTTTTCGTCCATTTCCTTTGTGTTATGGAAACACATTCCAATATCCTTGTTGAATGCAACTTGTCGGTCCTATTGCGATGCTTTGCTCGAAAAACATGTGATGTTGAAGAATGACATATAAAAAGACAGCTCTGACCATCCTGTCATCTGTGATTTTTTTCTGAGGCAAGTGGCAAAAGTATTGATTTCATTGCATCAATTCCACTCTGTTTTGGTTGTTTCTTCACCTTCTCTTCCCTTCTTTTGGTTCCTCCTTTAGGTTCCCCTTCTTATTTTTAATATTTGGGGACTGTGGCAGCTAACGTGTTCAGAAATCTTAGGGAGTGATTAACTGTACTTTCTCCTCGTCCAAGTCTTCACTACATGAAGGTCTATGCATATACACATATATATGCTCATTAGTCCAAAATGTCACAACTTGTTGATTGGGCATGCATATTTTGACTGGTTCTATCTTAGAATTTGACAGTCCTTTCTCCTTTTACAGTTATTCAAACGAGAAGTCGGAAGCAAGAATTGCTGAAGCACCAACAGAGCCCACATCCAGTTCTCAGTCTCTAACTCCTCCCAAGGTAATTCAAGTAATAAAATTTGTTCTAAACAATTCCCATGTACTTTGATCCACATGTTTATCCTTTCTCTTTTTATCCTTTACAGGAGTAAATTAAGTGAAAACAAATCTGAAACAGAGGATGAAACAATTGCTGCTTTATCCAGTAACAGTCAAACGTAAATTCTTCATCCGGATGTGAATTACAGCAACGAGAAGTTCCAGTGGCGTAGCTGATTGCCATAGATACTATGTCTACTATGCGCATCTTCTGCACTTGCATGTGTATGTATGTATGAAATATTTATATGTTTGGGATAGCGTAACCACTAATTGTAAAGAACATTACAATTACTCCTAAAAATTTTCAATAGAATATAGAAATTACTCTTTAAAATATATACAGAGCAGCTTGTCTCGTTATCAATTTTGGTCCTGTTTCTTCATTCATGATTGAGAAGGTTGAACTAGCAAGCAATTTTTTAATATATATGCTGTAGTAAACCTGACTGTGATACCTCGGTTCTTCAAGAAATATGAGATCCTTGTTTTTGTTGCCTTTTTAGCTGTCAATTTCTAAATCAGAGCTCTATAATGGTGGAAAATTTTACAAGATTCCAGTCAAAAAGTCAATATTTGTGAAACAAGAAAAGAAACAGTTGGCTGAGATGCCTCTTTTGTATACCAGCTCCCAGCTTTTAATAGTAGTTGCAGTAAGGCATAGAAGAATAGAGAAGTTGAGGCAGATATACAGGACAGGGTGGCCATGGCCCCTTAAATCTTTGCAGGTTTTGTGGTTTTAGTGGGGTGAGTTGTTCGAGTATAATTGTGAAGATTTCAAATGGGATTGTTTTGTTACTTTTGAAACACATTTGGACAGAAAGGAGGCATCAAGAATTTATAACTAAAATTCAATTACATATTCACAAACCCCAAATTCAATCAATATGCATACCGGCCAAAAATTCAAACATAAAACCGACTTAAATCGTGTTAATTTACACTGTTTGAAGTACACAATTTTCTCTGGTGATTCAATTAAGCCATCGACATGTTACAAAGCCTGCTAGGCCTCGGCTGGAAATTCCACCACCTAAGACTAAACCTACGATTTGTTGGCGCCAAAGCTCGCCTTATGATCTCTTTATTTCCACTCTTCGACTTCTCCCTCGGCACCAGGTATCCATGGCGGCTGCACCGGGTCGAACCAGGATGGTTTGAACACGTACAAATCGGTCTTGCTCTAGGAGAAGACACTGCAAAACTACTGACTCCACGACTCCGAGACCCGGTCGAGATATCTCCAGGCTGAGACAGAAATAAGGATGATCTTGCAGGAAGCTTCGGCCCCTCTTTGGTGGCTTGTTTCTGAGGGATTCTTTGCATTTTGTGAAGGAGAGGATGAAAGGGGTTTGTTTGAAATGAAATTAAAATTGTTCATGCATGGAAAATTGATCTTGTTGATAGCTATATAGGAGCTGTTGAATGGTTGACCAATGACTCGGTTTTCAATTCTAGAGTGTTGGCACTCCTAGACTTTTGACTGGAGACCTGGTTTGTTTTGTCACTTGGTTGGTATAAAAACAATCGGGGAATAGAACAATTTCCTCCTTCTTGTTTGAAAAAAATACCATGGAACCCAAGGGTTTGGAAAGCCACAAATAAACCCAAAAAGTTGACAGACTTTAACAAGATCTGAAAGGTCTTTAATATCCTTTCTCTTATTATACTTTATTAAATTTTTATTTTTATTACATTATTAATTTAGTTTTTATATAATCAAGTATGAATTAAAATAAACCATAAATCTCATATCCAAAAATCTTCTCCTTATTCATATATTTTATTTTAGTTATTATATAAAGTTGGTTAATAAATATTACTATATATATGGTTAAAATAAAAGTTGAAAAGAATGCTATAATTAGGCAAAGGGTATTATAGTCTTTATATAGTAAAGTAATGAGTTTCACTCACATCACATCTATCAACTGTTGGGTGTATTCATTAATTTTGGGAATCCTTGGGAGCGCTTGGTACTTTCCCTAAACTTTGAGGAGGAAATTGTAACATACCCTAAAAACAAAGTAATTTAGTTGGTGGTGGTGGATTAGTACCAAAGCCATAATATTGGATCCACCTTCATAATTAAATTCTTTTAACGATTAACTTGTGTTCAACATGTTTAATACTCAAAATTACCACAATTTCAACAAGAGGATTATGGATTTGTCTTGATCTTATCAATCACTAAGGCAGGAATTAGGTTAATTTAAGATGTAATTAAGCTTATTTTAGTAGTTTAATTAACATAGTTTGTAAAACAAGTCTCCCATTATATTACTTTTAAATCTTTTATACAATCAAACAGTGGGCAAATAGATTGTTTTCAGGAGTTAACGATTTTTTTCCCACCCAAATAATAGCTTAATGATATTTTTTCACCCATAGACTTTTAAAATACCATTTTATTACCAAAATTGTTATTCCAGCAGCGAACAAAAAGCAAAATCAATCCAAACTGTTAAAGTTTTTGAATATGGGAAACCAATAAGTCTTTTGGTGGTAGAAGATTAAATTTTGATGATTGGGATTGACCAGAATTTGATTTGAGAGGGACAACTGCGTAAACCTTAATCGCTCAATTTTCGGCAATTTGGAGGTCAACAAGAGTAGGGTTTGAGAGGTTTTGATGAGTGACGGTCGGGGAAGAGAATAGTGATGGTTTGGAGTCGTAATGATTCCAAAATGGGAAACGAAGTATAAATTTGGTTAATAAAGTGATATTTTAAAAGTTGTGGGTAAGAACAGTCATTCAATCATTATTTGGGTGGGAAAAAGTTGTTTACTCTTGTTTCCAGCTTCAAAATCCAACTCATTGCCAACTCTCTTGCAGCTGTAAATTAATCAAATCTTGACCACAAATTCCTGATAGTGTGTGCTTAATCTTGAAGCTAAATAATTGACTAATAAATACTACTAATTTTAATGGCATTAATGAACATGGGCTTTAATAACAATCTGGGCTTCATTAATATTAATTCATCACCATCACCATCACCATCACCATCTCCATCACCAATGGTCCAGACTCCAGACTACTTATATATATATGGAACAGCTAAGGAATCATCTGTTGTGGGTCATTCATTAAGATTAGGTATTCTTGACTGCTTTCCAGATCGATAATGGGCCTTCAGTTTTGCCAAGAATTTTAGTTGGGTTGACACAGACTCTCATTCATTCCTTCACAACGTAATCATCTTTTACTTGATACAAACATGTACAATGTTAATTCATTCATCACAAAAGTGTCCCACGTATTTATTTTGAACAACTTTAATTAATCTTAACCACCCATGGGCAGTGGCGGATCTAGGATTTTTGTCGAGGGAGGGCCTCCGCGGCTCGTCCATTATTTGTCAAATAATTAGTGAAAACTTTAAAAAATCACCAAACTTTAATAAAAATAATAATATAATATTAAGAACCTGAGAAAAAAGAATATACATTAACACAATATTTTCTTACTTGAATAAATCTATGAAAAGCAAAATTTTGAGTAAACCTTGAACAAAACCTTCTTTTAATATTTTTATTTTTGGCTTTCAAATATAATAATATAAATTTTCATAGCGTTGATCAAACCTAGCCTAATTAAGCTAAAGTCAACCAAAACTTAAATCAAGTCAACGTTACGTTGACTTTTAATATGAATTAGTAAAAGAGGGGAAATTTTTTTAGTATAAACATAGATAGTAACTCAAATTTCTTTAATAATTTCAAACAACTGAACGGTAACGTTTAAAATATAGGAAAGTGGTGGGTGAAGGATAAAGAATAACGTCCTTTAAAATATAGTTAAAGTTTTAATTTGAGAAAGCATGTTCATTCTTAGATAGAAAATACAAAATAAACTCACAAAATTAATATCTTTTTCTCTTAAATTAGAATAAAAAACCTCAAAAAGAAAAAAAATGATTCAATCCTTAAATAAACTAAATTGAAATGAATAATACACATACCTAAAATCTATAAAACAGAAAACGGAGCTAATTATGACACCTTGAGTAGTGAAAATTTAACAATTTCAGTCTTCAAAAATTTTAAAAGAGAATAACATGAGAAAGAGAAAGAGAGAGTAAAGAATTTGCGGATAAAATTATAAAAAAACAGGTAAAGTTGTGTAGAAAAACACTGGAGAGAGTTTTAAACTTTTAATATGATATGGACTTGGAATATATATATATAACAAGTTTTTTTGTAGACCTAGATATACAGTATGCATAATAATTCTTATTTTTTAAAAATTTGAAGGTGCGTCTGGATATATATGTTAATTAACAATTTTTTATGTCCTGTATATTAATAAATTTTTTTTCAAATCTGAGTGTAGGCCCAGGCCTACCCTCAAAGGGGTTGAATCCGCCCTTGCCCATGGGTGGCCGAGTGAGACAATAGAAACTCTTGGATATATTACTCAAAAAATCATGAATTTGATTCCTCTCAGTTGCTAATATAGGTAGTTACTTCCTCAGTTGCTAATAAGGGTGGTTACTAAAAGGTTTATCCAATCATTAACTTCAAGGCCACAAGAGATTAGTCGAGATGTGTGTAAGCTAGTCCGGACACCCCTCGTCACCAAAAGAAAAGAAAAAAACTTTAATTAATCTCTTCTCACGACCCTCATACTTCAATTTCTAAATTATTTCATTTTCATATCTATAATTTGAATAAAATTCTCCTTTTTTTTTTTTTTCTTTTTTGGATTTTACCTAATTTTTTGAAAATTATTTTCACCAATTTAAGAGTTTTTTTGATATAGAATTTAAATACAGTTTTTGTTTTTGAAAACAAGCGTTATGACCAATTGTTTGAAGATACGTATGGTATAAATGAGTCGAAATTGTCAGAGTTTGAGATTGAAGATGGTAAAAGAGGCAAAAGACTGCCGAAGAATGCCTACAAGAAGACTTGATAAAAGGGCAGAAATGAAGACCAGAGAATATCAAGTAGAGAAAAAGAGAATTGTATTTGTATTATGTATTTTGTAATGTGTACATCAGCCAATTTATACAGTGGCTTTAAATACAATAAAGGAAAGGAAATAATACTGTAAGGAAATACAATAAACTCTTAATTACAAAATACTATAATGATCAATCAAATGATTTGAGAATCAATGACTGCTTGATTCCAGCATAGATATCCTCAGCATTCCATATTTCATCACTCCCCCTCAAGTTGGTGGTTTGTAGATATTGAAAACCCCAAACTTGTGTAATAAATGAGAATGCAGTCGACTACATAAAGGCTTCGTGAATATGTATACTGGTTGTTCTGATGTTCGTATGTGCCTAGTCCTGATAATCCCTTCCTGAATTTTCTCCCTGACGAAATGACAGTCAATTTCTATATGTTTGGTTCTTTCGTGGAAAACTGGGTTTGCCGCGATATCATTGGCAGCTTTGTTATCGCAGTATAAAGTGACTGGTTTTCTGTTTTGACTCCCAAGTCTTTGACTAATCCAAGAATCCAGACAATCTCACAAGTTTTTTTGCCATTGCTCTATATTCTGCTTCAACTGAAGAAAGTGATATTGTTGATTGCCTTTTTGTTTTCCATGATATAAGAGATCCTCCAATTTTAATGTAAAATCCTGTAAGAGACTTTCTAGTCATAGGACAAGTACCCCAATCTGAATCCCAGTATGCTGTGATGTCGAAATTCCCATCTCGAGGTAAGAGAAGTCCTAATCCAAGACATCCTTTTAAATATTTAAGCACCTTGACTGCTGCGTCCATATGATATTGTTTGGGTTGATGCATGAACTGACTTAGTATATAGATTGCATAGCTTATGTCAAGCCTTGTCATGGTGAGATAGATAAGTCTTCCTACGAGTCTTTGGTAAGGAGATGGGTCTTGTAACAGAGGATCATTTTCTGGAGAGGCTGTCTCATGATCATATTGATGTGATGTGAGTTTGATGTTTGATGTTTTGATCCACAAGAATGATGCTGGGTTTTCAAGCTGATAGACTAGAATCGGATACAAGTTCTAAAACATATTTCCATTAACTTAAAGAAATACCTGCCAGAGATTGTGCAATCTCAATGCCCAAGAAATATTTTGGTTCCCCCAGATCTTTTATATGGAAATGTTTGTTGACATGCTCTTTTAGGGTGCGAATGCCACTCTCATTGTTCCCACTGATCAAAATATCATCAACATAAATAATAAGAGCAATGACAGTAGTACCTTTGTGCCATGTGAAGAGATAGTAGTCATGCTTGGATTGAATGAATCCCATGTTAGTTAGAGCCTCTGTGAATTTTGCATTCCATTGACGTGATGCTTACTTTAGACCACATAAGGACTTGCGTAGATGACATACCATATTCTCCCCCTGTCTACGAAGTCCAGGAGGAAAGTCCATATAAATTTCTTCATGAAGATCTCCAT